CCTGCTGCAGGGGGAAATTATTTACACCAGATACTTACATGAGGTCAGGATAAAGGGGCTACTGGCTTATCCACTGTGAAGTGGGGTTTCATGCAAGTTATGTCTTCATGCATTACATATCCATGACATAAGTTTAATACCCAGCCAAGGGCTGTTTGCCATTTAAACTTCACTCCATCTTTCTAAACACTATTCCAGACATTAACTCAGATAGATATTTCCCATCTCTTCTGTAAAGATGGTGAGGAAGGGGTGGGTTGAACTAAAGTTACAAGAGCACATTTGTTTTGTGTGTGGAATAGGAGACCGGAGCACAGGACAGGCACACCTGGCACAGCTACCACAGATATCGGAAATATTTCACAAATGTGGTAATTAACTTGTGTGGACTTGCTCTCTGCTCACTTCCCATATCTGCCTCTGTGTCTCTGGCATGCACACACCAAAATTTCCTAGTGCAGCAGGAGACTGTACTTCCCCTGATGATGCTACATCAATCACTGATTTTGAACACCATCCTATAGAAATTACTTCAGCGTACTATAAACCAATGCACCCTTCTGATCGACTGGGCAGACATGGCATCAATGGCAATTCTGAACAAAGAGACAAACATTTTTGCCCCTGTGCAATTCCTCTATTCTTTTTCCATCTGGTTCCCCTCTTTGAATACTATCCATTTGGTAATATTTGAAGGAGAAAAGCTGTCACATTTTTGTTTGGTGCTTTGGTGTAGAAGAATGACTTGGGTAGTATTCAATTAGGGTTAGAAAAGCACTAATCTTCAATAATTCAAAAGATGTCAGAAGCATCTCCATGTTAGCAACAATAACATTCAGACAAAAAACAAGTGATATGACAGACAAACTAAGGGTCTTGCCTATCCGGCCTTTGGCCTCTCTCCTACCAGTAAAGTCACCTTCCATTTAATATTTACCAAACCCTTTGTTTTCAGCCACAGCCATCATGAGAGAAAGAGGAGCAACTCTGATTAGAAGGTCTGTATTTGTATTTAGTAAGACACAGTCCCAAGCTACATTTGCCCATAACCTTAGCATGGCTTAACTGGTTTACAGCTGATCATGGGATACTAGAAGTTCATGAGATAAAAGCAGCCCAGTTGGCTGAGGTGGTGGGGAGGAGGGGAAGTCCAAGTCAAACCATCCCATTTTCTCCTCACTCCTATCTGCCCCATATTCCTGCAAGTGTTTGTATAGGAATGAGGAATGAGTGTCTTGTTTCATTTTGCTTTTTAAAAAGACTGTTTAATGAGAATGTCAGTCCAGACCCATTATTAGAAATTGCCTTGTGTAGTTCAAATGGAGTAAGAGCCAGTGAACAGACGTCCTAATCTCAGAGCAGTAACAGGCCAGTAGAACGAGTCTCTCTCTTGCTGTGTCCTTTCAGTTGCACCCCACATTCTTTAGTCCATCTTCTTGCGTTTCCTCTGGCCCCCAGATGGTTTGTAGGAGGGTAAGGGCAGAGAGAGGGTGCCAAATTTGTGATCCTCATCAGCTCCAAGTCCAGGAAGTCCCTTTTTTTTGGAGATCTTCAGCCTCATGGCTTTAGCGATGTCGAGCATTCTGAAAAAGGCAGAATCACGTTCATCAGCAAATACGAGAAGGTGCATGCACCATCCCTGGTGTCAGATTGCAGATCTGCAAGACAACAAACTGGCCTCTCCCTCCAAAGAGAAGGCATCAGTAGCCACAGGCAAGCAGCAATGTGGCCCTATGGCTGTTTTCTCTGAAGCAGCGATGGCTCTGCTGTGTGATGCGGGATCCATTTCTAGAAAAGGTCAGGGTGGCCACAGCTCAAGGATTTAGATGAAACACAGCAAGGGCATGCTCTGGGGGACACCAGGCTTGCTATGCCTCCCACCAGGCAACAGTTTTATCCTTTTCCTTTATTTAGGGTCTCTTTTACACAAATGGGATGACATTATACAATTCACACTAGTTTGGTATTGGAGGGACAGAGGGACCCCCACTGGTACTTCTAAAAGGAAAAATCGGAGCAAGAGCTGATCAGCCAGGAGAATACTTGGGGGCTGTTTGGTAAACATGTCAAGGGTTTGCTCAGAAAATTATATTGCTTATATAACAGTCAGAACGAGTGCTTCTTCATCCCACAGCTGAGGGGGCATGTGCAAGCAAGTAACACAGCTGCCTTATTATCAGGAACTACAGAATCTTGCTAGCACATATTAGACCACATTTTGACTTCCCACTGGGCTGCCTGACTGACCCCAGTGCAAGCCAGGTGGCCCATGATCCAACACACAGCAGAGTCTGTGAGAAAATTAAAATAAAGCCATAAAAGGCAGCACTATCTTTCCAAAAGCCTTTTGCTTCATCTTTAAAAACAGGGTCTAATTGACTTCAAACACTGCCATTAAAGCCATTATCCCACATCAGTTCTAAAGAGCAAAATTATTGGAAAGTGCATGACAGTTCACTGCAGCAACATGTACAATTAAAGCATCAACTGTGAAGCTGGAGACAACAAACAGGTCAAATCCTTTACAATTTTCATTGGAATTTGGTTTGTGTGGTCAGAAATAATTTTATTAATTATTTATTATTATACAGTATTATATTAATTTCTTAGAATTTTGTGACAAGGGCTAATTCATTTCTTGGGCAAGTGGTTCATTCTGAGGAATACAGATTTTGAGATGGATTTTTCATACCATCTTCACAGACCGTAGCAGAAAGGTCAGAATTATGAGCCAAGCCAGAGTCATCGGAGTTGCTCCCTCCTACAAGAGGCACCATGGCTGACCTGGAGACCAATCTATTTCAACCCCAGTTGGTATTATTCAACTGTGTTCCATTCCGACAGGCAGGCTTCTCAGTCTGGAGATCAGGGCTGCCAAAGGGAGACCACCAGACTATTTGATTACAGTTATGATCATTTTTCAGTTTAATCATTGAAGACCTGATCCAGAGCCCACAGAGGTCAGTGGAAATACCCCTCTACATTTTATGATTTTGGATCAGGCTCTGACTGACACCTGTTGACAACAGCATGCTTTACAGTTAAACCAAAGCAAATGCAGCTTCAACATGGACATATTCATTGTCCCAGAAAAAAAAAACTAAGCAAGAAAGCAACCTTTCCAATGATGAACATGGAGTCAATGTTTTTCACTATGGACATGGCTTTGCAAACCTTTACTCACCCAAGCTGTCCTTCCCTATCCCAGCTGACCAGCTCTTGCCTCAAACACCTTATCCAGTTAACCCTCCCTCTTCACTCAGGAAAAAAGAGAGTCTTATCTGCACCAGGGATAGGCAAAAAGAATTCTGAATACTGAATACTGCTTGCAAAGGTGGGGTGGCATGCTGACAACTACGTGTTTAAACAAAACCTTATTCTGGCCTCCGTGGCGGAGACTGTTCTCTCTGCAAACACACACAGAACAGGACCACCCCCCTGCGCCCCCAGGGAGTCAGATTCCATCTTGCTCAGACAGTGAATGGAGTGAGAAGAATAGCGTGGAATTACAGGATAAGGCACTTCCCTAATAGATACAGCACAGGACTGGGCTAAGCAGTGCCACTGGCCTGCTGGGTGACGCTATGGAAATCACTTCCCTGTGCCTCAGTTTCCCCATCTGAATTGAACAATGTCCCCCTTTTGCAAAATGCTTTGAGATGTACTGAAAAATAGTGCCATGTCAGAGCTAAAAATGACCTCACAGAACAGCTTGATCTTGAACAGGGAACTGCATCCCACCAGTGGCAGGCTCGCCTCTCGCAGTAAGTTCTCATTGCTGCATCAGTCAAACTCTCAGCTGAAGAACTGAAAACAGGCTCTCCTTCCATGCCGCCATCCCACTTGCCCCTCTTCAATGTTGCAGGTCTGCAGTCATTAACTGCACCAGTGCTCTCACCTGGTCTCATGGAGTTTCATGTCCCTCTGTAAGAGTGTCAGGTCTATCTGGAACTTGTTAATGTGCAAGGCCAGAGCTACGACATATGCTGTGATTTTAGCCTTCATCGAAGCAGAGATTAAATTCTGGATCCTGAAGAATAAAAAGTCATAAAGGAGGAAAAATTTAACAAAGCCAAAGCATAAACCACTGGGGACTGTGTCTGCAAACAGAATGTACACAGAACTGGAATCAGACCCCGGGAAAATGCGGCCAGTTTTGTCTGCCACAACTTTGAAAGTGTTGTAAATACACAAGGGTGTCTGGCCCTAACTGGCCTGCAGAACAACTTTTTAAGTGGAAACCACATCTGTTCGTCCACAAGTCACTTTTACTAAAATTAAGAGTGAAGGTGAAATTACTGTATTTACTCACATAGCGCACACACCCTGCTCCCAAACAGTCCTCCAAAACTGGTGCGAGTGTTTTAAGTGGGGAAGTTGACTTTTCTTCACCGGAATAAAAGCATGCACATGCTGTGCTTTAATGCTGCCAGGATGGTTACCTTTCATCTCTGGCCATAGCAAGCAGAATGGGTGGAGTCCTATGTTAACCCGTGCACAGGTCTCTGTAGCTCTTAGCCAAGAACTGTAGCTTGTGTCTGAAGCAGCAACTGAGCCAGCTGAGGGCCAGTGAATTGCTGCATGCATTCTGTAGCATCTTGGAGAAGCTTGGTATTTTTTACAGGAACTTACATACAAAGCTGTTTACAGTAAAGAATTAACAGTCTTGCTACTGCTTTTGCAGGGGTCTAGAGCCTACCCTTGTTGCTGTCCAGCCACACCAAAAAGTTCCTGCTGCCTTAAACAGACTGTCTCCTGGGATGTCATACTTCCTTAATATCCTGTTTCCAGAAGGACTTACTTTATGTCACACAGTCAGCCATGGCTCTGGAAAAATCTTCTCTCTACATTCTGCCTTCCAAAAACAAGGTGTCTTGTATTTGTAGGCATCTGGTATGCGATGCGATACAGTGATTACTTTGCAGGTGTCAGGGACCTCCTGGAAGCCTTTCAGGATGCAAAAGACTAACTATTCCTAACAGAAATGTTTGGATTGAAATGGCTCTGTTTATTTGATATTTCCTTGCACAACAATGCAAAGGCTATGAAAGGACAACCATGCTGTTATGGACAGGACAAACAGTTCTCACATTCTCAACAGTTAAGAGAGTCTTTGTGCAGAACATGGGAAATGTTAAATTCAGGGCAGTATTCTGGCACCGCCTTCTGGCAACAGCTCAGTTGCTGAAAGGTTTAGCTGTGGCAAGCAGCAACAGAACCCAGAGCCCAGAGGGAGCCACAGCTCTGACACAGAAGAACTTTACTGCTCTGATAAGAACAATCTCTCTGTTCTAGCAGCAAGCTGGGAGAGGCAGCCCCAGCTGGGAGATCTTGGAACCGCAACACAGAGTGGAGCGGTGGTGAAGAGGTGCACCTTGTTAATGTGAGCTTGATGATCTGAAACCAGCCTGTACAACTCAGGCCAGCACTGACCAGAAACCAGTTACTGGTGACATTTCTCTCAGATTTTCAAACAATTTTAATTTAAAGAAGCACTGATTTTGAAACACAAGTCCAGAGTCTCCTTTCACACCAGATTGACTCCTCTGACCTCACTCAGGGAGCTGAGGAGAATAATTTTTATACAGATATAAGAATCACCTTTCTGCACTAAAATCCAAAGGCGTTACACAGAGAAGACACCAACAATTCAGATTCCTACAAAGGGCATATGGCTCAAAAGATGCTTTCCCTGTCATGTGTATAGTGGTAGTTTTTTCACTTGAACTTTGCTGTCTACCCCTCAGAAATATATGTTAGAGAAAACCCATTCTCTACCTGCCACTGTTGTACGTTAGTGCAGTGAAATTTTTCATGAGTTTTTTGTTAATGATGCGTGGACAGTCAGGCCCCATCGGACCTAGAACAAAAAGATTTTTTTCAATGAAGTGATAAATACAAGCAGATTACGCATGCAATCATTTTAAGAATTAATTAAACAATACCATGCTGGTTTCATACACCTCTTAAGAATACATATATCAATATTTGGTCCAACTTGTTAGAGCATCTACATTAAGACTCAAAAGCAGCTTAGGCAAAGTACACCAATATCCTATGGGTAGGGATGTACCAAATTCACGGTAGAAGTGGGATGCACTGTGGCTCCTTTAATTTTGCAGATTCCCCTGCACACCCCTCCACCACTGATTGGTGGAGGGGCCATGCTTGCAGCTCGCTCCCAATTGGCAGGGAGGCAAAACTGCAGTTTTAAATATGGCGCCGGTTTTGCCTTCCGTTGACGATTGGCTGAGGAGCCCCAGCAGCCCTAATGCTTGCTTCTGATTGGCGGAGAGGCAAAAACGACACCATATTTAAAACTGTAGTTTTTGCTTCCTCGCCTAACAGGAGGGAGTTGTGGGTCCCCTCTGCCAATCAACAGCAGGAGGGGAGGGGTACACATGGGAACATGAACGATTAAAGGAGCTGCCGTGCACCCCACTTCTGCTGTGAACTTGGTAGGTCCCTACTTATGGGCTTTCAATCAGTCTTAGGAATCCAATGGCCTAAACCATACTTGAAAATAGGACTTCAGAAATGCCTGAACAGTCAGAAATAAATACATGTCATTCTATAGTTTTTTTTAAAAACTAATTAAATGACACAGCTTAAAAAAAATCTCATTTCCTTCTTACTCCTCAGACTGTTTACAGAGGTGGTTAGCGGTGCAAGTCTGAAGTTAGGCAGAGTAGGGCAAGGTGGCACCTTAGAGACTAACTGGTTCAGAGAGACATGAACTTTCATAGGCAATGAACCTACTTTGCCAGATGCTGATGTCAGAGGTTCATCACATAGCATTGGACAAAGTAGGTTTATTGCCGATGAAAGCTTGTGCCTCTCTAAACCAGTTTTCAGTGCCATCCTGCCCTACCTTCTGCCTTACAACTGGTTAGTTTTTTTTTTGTTTTCAGGCCACTTGTACCACTACCCACGAGTCAGAAAGTCAATGACATTCCTTCTGGATTCCCAACACATGGGGGGGGCAGGGGGAGCGGGAAAGGGAATTGTAGAATTTCAATATAACGTGGCTTGTTTGTTTAAAAGAAGAAAATGTTTCATGCTGAAGTTTTCAGAACTGCCTAAGGAATTTACCTGCACAATTCCCACTGATAATGATGAGAGTTGTCCATTTAAATTCCTTTTGAAAAATCTCAACCTAAAGGTTTTCTCTGGAGCCATCAAGAACTGCAATTATTGCATCTTTAAAAGTAAAATCCTTCTGGATGCCATGGTGAGCAAACTACATTAGCTGGAAGCAGTGGAACTGAAGCTGGTTGGAGACTAAATATGCAAATGAAGTGGGTCTGCAAGCAGCTGCAAGGGAGCACAGCAAGTGTTGCCACCTGTCAAGACCATATTGAGTGTCTCATGATGTTTGATTTCCAACCAGTTCCAGTCATTATTTTTGTCTTTTGCAGGTTTTGTGAATCCCGTGGAACATTCAAGATTAGGAAGTTTTATTCACAGGAGCGAAGTACTGCTAAGAATATATATAAAGTATGAGAAAATTATTGCATGAAAATAGTTTTGGGGGATTCAAGTCCATGTCCTGACTCATTCACAGGAAGGGACTATTTAACTGACAAGGAAAAAGGAACAGCTCAGCGGTAGATAGGATTAAGTCTAATAAAATTTTAACATCAATGAGGAAAAAAGGACATCATGTTTCTCTGTGTAACTGCCTTAAGGAAAAGAGCTACCAGTCTGTAGATGTTGCCATTTTTGCAAAGACAAAGAAAACTGCAAAGTCTTGAATAATTGTGGCTTTTTCACTTTAAGACTTACTTTTGGCTCACAAGAAAATGCAATTTATATTCCTAAATGGAAGCTTGTTTCATCACTAAAAATATGCCAACATGCATGCACCACATGCTTCATCACCTCCCGGGGAGGGGAATTAGTGGGGAAAGAGACCTTTTAAATCACATTGCTTATAGGCTGAGATTCTTAAAATCATTCTAGGGGGGATTGAACACCTAGCTTCCACTAGATGTGTCTAAACTCCTTTGACTGCTTTGAAAATATCACCTTAGTACAAAAACATTAGCTTTGTCTGATAGGTGCCTGTTAGATTATGTCTGTCATCTTGATAGAATTCTAGTTTTTCTGGACAAAAGAATCCATTAGTTACCAAATGAATCCCAATGCATTGCTGAAAGGTACATGGGGGAGAAAGTTCTTTTGTTATCAACTTACATTTCTTCTTAATCACCTTCTTGTAACTGAACTTGATAAGGGTATCCAGGAACCACAGGCACCGTGCCTTATGGTCTCGGCTGCTCTCATCTACAGGCATAGACTTCAGATCTTCTAGAACAAAGGAACAGAGGCTAGAAGAAAGAGGAGAGACGCATTAGAACATGAAGCATAAGGAAGTGACCACTATTTTTGGCTCATCGAGACGTTTAGACATCCTTACCTCTCTTCTTCTGGCTTCTTAAGGATCTCTTCAGAAGTAAGATTAGTAAGAGCTGCAGCTGGAGCCTGCAGGGCTTCATATTCAGCAGAGGAGATGACTGGAGAAGTTTTAAGAAACAATAAAGAACAACATCTTGCCCTCTCCTCTGAGGATTAAGAGGCTTTCAAACAGTGAATGTCACTACACCCCTCTGAGACAAGTTAGCAGCATATATGTAAAGGACAGAAAAGAGTTGGTTTTGTCCATTGCTGTACAGCTTACATCAACAGTTTACATCAGTGTGGCATGCTGTTTCCAGCCCTGCTAGCTGGGGAAGACACTCTATGGGTAGGGGAAATATAATCGTGGGAACTTGGAATTAGGTAAGATGGATGCCCCTGTAGAATCAATTTAGATTTATTCAAAAATTTCTCTTGGCTCACCAGTCCAAATTCTAGCCCTTGCTCTCCATAAATCCATCTGCCATTATAAGTGCTTTGGTGCCTACTCAGCAGGTACCATAGGGAAAGCAGAAAAATCACTTACTCTATAAGAATCAGCCCAAGAAGCAAGACACTGACTTGTAGGTAAATACCTCATAGCAGCATGACAGATCCTCCACCCCTGGCTCATTGTTCATAAATGGAACTGACTCTCCTCAGCAGACTCATAAAGGCACTGCCAGGACCTTGCTCTTCTCCCTGGAGTCTAAAGCTTTACCCTGATGCGCTCTGGTGAATAAGCAGCATGATGACCCAAAAAGGATACGGTCCTCAAATCTGTAGACGTTCTCTGGTTTGTCAGCCTCTTCATGACATGGAGGCAGGAAGAGAGAGACCTCCTCCACATCGTCCTGAGCTGCATCACTGACCAAAGCTTTCAAAGTAAGAGGGAGACAAGAGTGAATACATGAACCACCGCTAATAAGAAATGGAAGAAAAGTTCAAACCAAACACTTGCTTTTAACTCAAAGGGAATTCCTTGCTTAAAATGTGAGGATTGTGGTCTGTGTAACAGAAGCTTTCTATACGAGGTAATAAATCAATTTCTCAATGATATTTTTCAAAATTTTCCTCTTTTTCCTCTCTAAGTATAGAAGAAGGCAGGGCAGAGATGCATCTTACAGACTAACTAATTCACAGATGCATAAGCAACAGGCCACTTCATCAGAAGTTACCTCTCCCCAAGCAGAGTTACTTACAGTACACAGAGCATCTTGCGCATACAGAACACAGCAATGCATTTCCGACAGCTCTCTGGAAGAGGAATCCAGCTTTTGGTGGGTGTTTGTCCACAGTGGGGCCCCAATCCCTCATTAAAGTCTCTAACACCACAGTAATTTATATTTAGAAACTTAAGTCATATATATGTTACTCCACAGTTTTATTGCCAGTATTGTCCCTCCACTGCTATTACGCCTAAGGATTTGCAATCCCCACTAGGGGCAATGAAGGGAGATGGAGAAGCAATACTGCAAGGTAGCACATAAGAAGAGTCTAGGTTTCTACTGTCCATCTGACTGATCTAAACCTACATCGAAAGAATGGATAATCTGCAGGTTTTAATGCTTCTGGAACAACTGGTCCTTCATGCAGATCTAAAGCAGTATCATTCTTAAGAACTTAGCAAGTATTGTCAGCATGATGGACTGGTCTTTCTATGAGACTAGGTCATGCAATAGATGGGGAGACTGATTTTCCAAGATCTTCTTATAGTTGGATGTAGGGACTAGTAAGGAAAAAAGGGTTCTTTCATGGCTGTTCAAATTTCCCCAATGCCACTCCTAAAGAACAGTGGCTGGTAACCTATGGCCTGCAGGTTACCAGCCAAGCAATCTGGCCAACCAAGCAATCATAGAAAATTAGGGTTGGAAGGGACCTCAGGAGGTCATCTAGTTCAACCCCTGCTCAAACAGGACCATCCCCAACTAGATCATCCCAGCCAAGGCTTTATGTAGCCAGGTCTTAAAAACAGCCAAAGGTAGAGATTCCACAGCCTCTCTGGGTAACCTGCTCCAGTGCATTACTACCCTCCTAGTGAGAAAGTTTTTCCTAATATCTAACCTAAACTTCCCTTGCTGCAACTTGAAATCAATGCCCCTTGTTCTGTCATCTGCCACCTCTAAGAACAGTCTCTAGCTCCATCCTCTTTGGAACCCCTTTTCAGGTAGCTGAAGGCTGCTATTAAATCCCCACTCTGTCTTCTCTTCTCTAGACTACATAGGCCGTTATCTCAATGTCTCCTTGTAACTCATGTCCCCCAGCCCCCTCACTGTTTCTGTTGCCCTCCGCTGAACTCTCTCCAATTTATTCACATCCTTTCTGTAATGGGGGCCCAAAACTGGACACAGTACTCCAAATGTGGCTTTCCCTGTGCTGAACAGAGGGGAATAATCACTTCCCTTGATCTGCTGGCAACACTCCTGCCAATGTAGCCCAGCATGCCGTTAGTCTTTTTGGTAACAAGGGCAAATGTTGGCTCGTATTCAGCTTCTTGTCCACTGTAACCCCCAGGTCCTTTTCTACACAGCTGCTGCCCAGCCAGTAAGCCCCCAGTCTGTCCCAGTGCATGGAACTGTTCTGTCCTAAGTGCAGGACTTTGTACCTGTCCTTATTGGACCTCATGAGATTTATTTTAGTCTAAACCTCCAAATTGTCTAGATCTCTCTGAATCCTAACCCTACCCTCTCGCATATCTACTACTCGCCGCAGCTTGGTGTCATCTGCAAACTTGCTGAGGGTGCACTCCATTCCATCTTCCAGGTCACTGATGAAGACAGTGAACAAAACCAGCCCCAGGACCGACCCCTGGGGCATTCCACTTGATACCAGCTGTCAACTAGACATCAAGCCATTGACTACTCCCCTCTGAGCCCTGATGATCCAGCCAGTTTTCTATCCACCTTACAGTCCATTCATCCAACTCATGCTTCCTTAGCTTTCCTGTGAGAATGTTGTGGGAGACCATATCAAAAGCCTTGTTAAAGTCAATGTACACCACATCCACTGTTCTCCCCACATCCACAGAGCCAGTCATCTCATCATAGAAGGCAATCAGGTTGGTCAGGCATGACTTGCCCTTGGTGAATCCATGCTGACTTCTCCTCCAAGTGCTTAGAAATGGATTCTTTGAGGACCTGCTCCATGACTTTTCCAGCAACTGAGGTGAGGCTGACAGGTCTGTAGTTCTCTGAATCCTCTTTTTTTTCCTTTCTTAAATACAAGCACTATATTTGCTCTTTTCAAATCATCTGGGACCTCTCCCAATTGCCATGAGTTTTTAAAGGTGATGGCCAGTGGCTCTGCAATTACATCGGCCAACTCCTTTCGGTGCATGCCGTCTGGCCCCATGGACTTGTATATGTCCAGGTTTCCTACATAGTCCCAAACCTGTTCTGTTGCCAGAAGACTAAGGAGAAAAAGGCATCCAGTACTTCAGCCTTTTCTACATCCATTGTCACTAAGTTATCTTCCCCATTCAGTAACGGACCCACACTTTCACTGATCCTCCCTTGTTACTGATCCAGCCTGTGAAACTGGGACCTCTTTGACAATTTGGAGACAGGGGATGTCCATGGCATTTCTGGGGAGGTTCGCACAGCTAGGAGGGAAAGCAAGGCTGCATCACTGAGAGCAGTGGTAGCACTTATGACCGTGTTGGCCTGCCTTTGGACTTAGCTTTGTTAAGACAGCCTGTGGCTCCAAAAGATTGCCGACGTCTGACACATTTCATACTCCTGACAAGCCTGTCTTCTTCCTCCAATCCTTGGGGTCAGTATACTCTCATAGGAGATAGGGGGAAAGAAAGATGCATCGAATCATAAAGTCTTCAAAGATTTTTCTCTATTATTCTCATTACTTACTAGCTACACCCTTTGCACCAATGATGTTTTCTGCTGCTCTAGTTACAGCCATATTTAAAGTCTCATTGCCAACTTGGTTCATTCTTCGAGAGTTCAGGGCTCGTTTTTGCTTGTTGGAACCAAAAGCTTCAATGCATGAATCCACCTGTATGAGAAAGAAATGCAAATTATTGTGCCGAGAAAAGAAGGCACGCTCTTTGGAAAGCTTTGGCGGGAACCTTAGGGAAAACACATCCTGAACTGGAGAAGTTGCCAAGGGGTGGTCAATTATTTCAGCTGGAAGGAGACTAAACGCATGTTGGAGACTTGTAACTTGCTTTGTCTGTCCTCTCATTTCCTCCTCCCTTCCCCTTTCTCTTCTCTCTCTCCTCTGTTCCCCCCTCCCCAGTCTCTCCCCTCTCTCCCCACCTTTCTCCTCTCTCTCTCCTCCCCACTCTCTCCTGTCTGTCTACTCCCCCCACTTCTCTTCTCTCCCCATCATGTTCTCTCTTCTCGCTCCTCACTCTCTCTCTCTCCACTGCCCCAGGATGGTGGTGGGTCAGTTGTGGATGCAACTAGCAGGTTCTGTGTCTGGGCTCCCAATCCTGCCTGCGGTGTCCACAGCTGACCCTGCTGTCCATCGGCTGTGGCGAAGCTCCACCTGGGTCCACAGCTGATGCTTGATGCTGCTGGGTGGAAGCAGTTCTACCTGCCTGGCACCATGCGGAGGCTACAACCTCCAGCAGCCCAAGAGCTAGATCTAGTTAATTGGTGGACATCCTCTCATGGGCCAGATCGAATCTGTTGGCAGGCCGGATTCAGCCCATGGACCATATTTGGCCCACCCAGTATAAAAGAAAGTTCACCCTCTTCCTCTCTTGAAATGAAATACATTTCACAGTCAAAGTTATAAGTAAATAAATTCAGCTTTAAATCATCATATAAAGATCAACCAGAAAAGAAATATATTGATAAGCTATATTAAAAAAGAGTAATCACTATCATGGGGTAGAAATAAGTTAATAAAAATGAATTTAGGACATACAATAGCTTGTGAGTAGACAACTCCCACACTGCCCACACTCTAGAAAATCTGAACAATACCCTGCAAATATGTCATTTCATAACCAGACCCAGGTTAGCAAAACTACAGAAGCCCATACATTTTGATCGGATGAAAAACCACTGGTTGGAGCTGGTTGCAGGACCATGGCCAACAGCCCAGATTAAGCAGGCCATTATCTAATGAAATGGCAGATTAGACATGTAAACAGGGATTTCCTACACTAACATTAAACTAACCAAATACACAACACAGTGGATGAGCTAATGCTCCTTGTTATTAAGCTCCAAACCATTTTTCAGCTGTGAACATGCATGAGGGTTTTAATATTTATTATTTCCAATATTGCAGCAGTTTGCTATGTTTGCAAAGAGTCTTCTTTGGGGAAAAGTGCTTTTCCTCAACATGCACTGTGAGAAGTCCCATTATCTCTGAGATTACACACCACAAGTTAGACACGTAAATTTATGCTAGAGTGGAAATGTTAAAATGTTAAATTCAGATGACAATTATAGCTATGTTTTGCTGAGGCAAAGAACCAAACCAGCTTGCTATTTTCTAGGTATCAATTTGTGGACAGAGCCTAACAGGAGTGGATGGGGGGGAGAAGGGGGTGAAGGGGTGCACGCACTGGTGTAGTCAATGCCCCCCACCCCTGCCCTTTGATTCCTGCTTCACCAAAAAGCTTAAACCAACTGCCAGCAGTGGCAGTAGCATTTCTATTCAGGCAGTACTGAGGCAGTCAATTGACTTTATGGCTCATTATACTCCACCTGATTCCTATTAATCTCTCTTCTCTCCACAGGTGTTAATGACCCACTCTCCTTTTTAATGGTCATGATGTTCCATTAATCACAATATTTTGCAATTTGCTGTCTGTTAGCCATTCCTGGCAATCTCTCTCTTCTTTTAAACAGCCCTTCAGACTGTTTTTAGTTCCAGTTGGAAACAAACTCAGGTGTGGTAATATTTACTTAGGAGAACATTAATGCAGGTGTGGAAATGACTGACAGTGCTGGATGCACTGTAAAGATGCTCAACGAGGCTAGATTTTATTTTACAAGTCTGAATAAGAGATGTACATTTCCCTATCTTGACTACAGGAATAATAAAATAACATATTTTGACTATTTTGCCTAGTTTATTGTGTTTTTAACTTAATTTATAGTCAGCGACCATTTCAATAAAATTGTATTTGGTTTTACTTTGATCTTAAACTGAATAATATACTGCTGGGCCCCTAGCATATATAATATATCTTCTAGCATCTCTTAACTGGAAAAAAATATATGTTATGACATATGTGATAGTGCACTACACAATCTGCATCCCCCATTTCAAAATCTGATCTGCCCATGGAGCCCAATCTGTTGGTGGCTTGTCCTGTACACGCTAAAACCACTAGACAGGAGCCATACCTAAAATAAAGATAAAGATATTCCATTATGTCTCTTCATAAGAACTGCTGAACTTCAGCATAGGTTAAAATGATAACTTACACCCATTAATTACAAAACTGAACACCTCAATCCCAGGCAAATATCATTTACCATGATTAGCTGGGTAATTATGTTAGAAAAAGACTGGGTTTCAACTTTTACCTTCTCTCTGTAGGATTTACTTTGATAATCTGATAGGTCATCTTCTATTACATCATCTACAAAAGAACAAAAATTAGTACATGGGTCTAACTGGGTCAGTCAGTAACATTTATGAATTCAGTAATCATACTGTTATATTTATGTTACATTAAAATTTAGCAAACTAGTTCTCAATTTCTCATGCTTGGCATGATAGCAAATGAGGGCACAAAGGAAACAATTCACTGAGGATAAAGAATATTCTCCTCTTGTTTCCTACTGAAGAACTGCTCTGTCCAAGGGTTATATTCTTACCCAGAATGCTGACAACATAGTCCTCCATACTAAGCAGAGGACATCATCACTAGTTTTCTTAGGACAGAAACAAGTTCACAGGTTGCTACTGATGTAAATGCTTCTATCTCCCAGCCTTTTAACCTCCTTTCAAAGTATCACTTCATAGCTATAGTTGTCCCATTTACCACTCTGTGTCTTTCCACACTGTACTTACCATTAATGTACTGGAAATAAGTGTATTGTGGGCACTTATTCCAAAAATATGGCCTTAAGAAAATCAATATGCTCTTTTTTGTCCTATATAACATAACCAAGGAACCAAGAAGGACGCATGTAACATTGGACACTTAAAATGTGGAGAAACGGTCACATTCAAAAACAGGCCTCTAGCTAAGTGCAATGTACACCAAGTATAGAGGTACTTCACAGGACTCGGTGTAGTCTTTTCCACCCACCTGACAACAGTGGCTGCATATTGAACAATTCTGCATTATAAACTTCCATCTGTCCAGAGTCCTTGTCTAGCACACCAACAAAGTACCTGTGGGAAATGATTCAGCATAAGTGAAATATGTTATTAAGATTATATGGCTCAGTACTTTGCATGGACCACTGTTACCACTAAACTGCTCTGCAAAGACCAATTTTCCAATGCCTACAAACACCTAGACCATCACAGTACGAAGATCTATAAAAGCTGCATTGAAGGCTTTATTTTTATACTTGTGAGTTAAAACTAAGGCATTGAAATGAACTCTGAAGCACGCAGAAAGGGTGTCTAGATGCCAAAGTGCCAGCTTCCATTCTACTCTTCCTTTGCTTTGCCTATAAGGACCTCAATGATTTCTCTAAAAGCAACCCCTGTATGCACAGCCCTTCACTTTGGGAGTCCATGGATGAAGTTTTTCTAAGGCTGCTGGGGGTCAGGACCAGCCACATTCAGAATTTCAAGGACAGTGACATTTAAAACCCTAGTTCTCAAACACAGATTTTTTTGTTTCAATTATATCACAAGTTGGGCAGCTCTTCTGCAGTTTCCTTTGGTTCTTGGAGCAGAAATTCAACATGGTTTATTCTCCGATTAAAAATGCATCTTTGCCTCTACGCCTGGCAGCTTCCCAGAAACTGACTCCACTAAGGAGTTCCAGGACCTTGTCATTTCTTTTAAAGAGATTCAGAGCTACCTTCCTTCACAGCTCAATTTCAGAGGAGATAAGATAAGGTGATTCATGGATTCAGTGATTGTGACCGCTGGGCCTCGAACACCCGGTCACATGCAACCTTGGTGCGGGCAATGGGTGGTGTACGCCTTGCAGACTCCCGTAAACTACTGAGTACCTGTTCACTCCTGGAGCAGTCTTCCCCTATCTCACCTGCCACGACTTTGAATGTTCCCAGTGGGGGAGTTGACTACACAGGGTCCTTCTGCGGCACACAGTCTGCCCGATGGTCACTTGTGGGACTCCGCCACCCCTACACCCCGACCGTATGCCACCTCGATGGATCGCTCAATCTTCCTGGGCTACGTCCCCCTTCTTCTGTAGCTGTGGGGCCTCTCAGGTTTCTTCCCGTCCTGAGTATCAGCTCTGGAGGCTGATTCGCTTACTCTGTCATGGGCTTTCTATGATTGGAGGTCCCGGTTGTGGAACCTCGCCTAGAATGAGCTCCTGCCCTCAGGACTGAATTGCAATGAAAAGCCCTACGGGCCCTGCACCAATTACTCTATTTACATAAGCCCATCCTGCCTCTCAACCCCTTCACATGGGGAAACACAAAAGAAAACCACAAGACAACACGTCTACCGTTTCGCTGGGAACCTGGTCCCTTACGATCGGGTACTGGGTATCTAGTTCCCTCCGGTCTAACTAGGGTATGACCCCTGCTTGGATCCTATACCCGTAGCCTCCTGCTCGGGTTGTCCTTTCCCTCTTTTCAGCTCTTTCTGCAAGCCCTGTGCTGCCCCACTTCTCTCCTTTCTGGAGCGTCCCCATCCGGGTGTCTCGTGGTTCCTCCGTGTATGGCTGGCTACTTTCTGTGTTCAGGGTAGGTGCCCTGCTTTTCCATAGCCCTTCCTGTTGCTCCTGCCAGGACCTTCCCAATGGGGCTACTTCCTCCTCCTCCCAACTGTTCCCAATACTCCCACTTGCTATGTTGTGGGTCTTCGTATGCCCTTCTCTGCTCCCCCAGTTGCTGCTGCCTTTGCAGATTGCAGGGGCTGCTTCTGGCTTGTCTCCAGCGCTGATGACCTGTTCCCTGCCGCCGCTGCCAAGACCAGCATCAGGAGCTCCTCTGGCTCCTCGTCCAGTGCTCCTTCCCTCCTGAGGGATTCCCGGAGCGGGTCCTGCGGCCACACGCTCCTCCGGTCCGTTCTCCCTCTCTCCATTCTTCCGCCGTCAGCCATTTTTATCCCCGCTGGCCGGTGATTGCTGGTGATGTCTTTGGCCAGCCTCAGCTGGATAAAGACACAGATAACGAGCCGCACGGGCTTCTCTTCTTGTTCCCGCTGCGCCGCAGCTCCTGCTGTAGGTAAACAGTTTTTTCTTGTTTTAACTTTTACGTTTGTTCCCACTCCCTCTTGTTTATTCTGTTCCCCGTAACTTTCTTTTCTTATTCGGGGTCCTTCCCCCTGTTCTCTCCTGAGACAGTGATATATCAATCCACTTCTGACCAGACCTCCACAGCTTGGCAAAATGTGAGCTACAAGTGTCTTCTGATGGAATCCTCCTTCTCCAGCTAAGAGACCACTGATTTGATGACATACAGGAAGTATACAGTTGCTCCCCTCCATATGGCTTGGGATTTGCTCCTCTCTGGGTTACTTTTTAGACTGAAACTAATTTTGGGGAGATGATGCATGACTACAGCGTAACACTAGCCACTTATGTATGTGGGGGTCGGGGGATGAACTCTGTACATTTCAAAATAATAGTTCAGCTGCAGCTGTAAGTTCAGATAAATTGAGTCCTATTTGAACTTCAGTTTGAGTCCAGTCCCTTGCTACTACATGTACTACATCATATAATTCCTTTCACAAACCATCTTAAATGCAGCTGTTTTATCCCACTAATTACTCTGGCTGGGAGTTCATTCCAGAGCCCCACTGCTTTGACAGAATACTCCTTCTAATTTTATGACTACATTAATTCACTATTTTATACCTATTTATTCTTGTTCCAAAATTGTCCTTTACCTTAAATAGCTCCACTTTCCTTCCTAATGTTTAGTTACTGGTGTATTTATGGATAGCAAACCTATCCATAGCTATCCTATCCAAGGCTAAACAACCCAAGCTTTGTTAATCTTCTCTTGCATAGGATTTCCACTCCCCTGACCATCCTTGTAGTTCCTCTCTGCGTCTTAATGAGTTAAGTAGAATCAATATAATCTGTCTTTAAATCAAATTAAAGGGGGTTCTTGCAGAGTTTAGCCAAGGACTAAAAAGAACAAAAATACTAGCTGCTCACTAATAACATTCAGAAGGCTGTTCCAAGGACACACTTGGGCTGCTAGCTGCTAGAAGAATTACAGAGGTAATTCTATCATAGGATTGCAAGGAAAATTTAACTCCCAGAAGACAGTGAAGACCAAGAATTAAGAATGGAAGAGTCTGAAGACCTTAAACATACTGACAGAAGGTCAGAAAGAATGGGCAAATTAACAACCTGAGCCCTCTGCACTGTGGAGCCTCAGAAAGCCAACTTTCTATCCCTTCTACTTCAAGAGTTATTCTCACATTAACCAGGCACATGTCTAGGGCCCTCCAGTGACTCATCCACGGATCAATTAAGTCATTAAAACTGTCTCTTAATCATACAAAGTGATCCGAGTGTTCAGAGAAGGGGCCCTAAATCACTATAAAAATGGCATATCATTGATATTTGTAGCATAAATGTTCATTAGACTAATTGGTTCCGAGTTTAATTTTCTAGACAAAGTATAAAACTGTCCTTAGAGTCTTGATGCAACCATGGTATCTTAAATTAAGTGCTGTCAAAATTAAAGTCAGAGCTCTACTCATTAGCTTTGAGAAAGAGAAGAACAAAAATACATGACCAGCATGTAATCTCTTTAACCTTTTAGACCATTTTAGTTGGGACTTTCCTACTTAAAAAATTAACAGTAGAAAAAGTGTTAGTTTATTTTAATCAAATAGTTCAGAGCCAAATTACATCGAGAGATTAAACTTTAAAACAGCGTCTTCTGCCCCATTTTACCTTGCATGACTCAAAACAAAAACCTAACATAATTGTTCCCCTATGCTTTATGTGTTTGCTTTCCCCCCTGCTACAATACTTCAGTTGTTAGGTGGCTTGAAATCAGTAATCAATGTGAGGTGCACAGATGAAAACAGGACTCAAATAGATTAATTGGCAAATTTAAAGGGAAAAGGCAAATCAGATTTGGCCCCCAAATTTAGCTCATAATCAAACTAAATCTTTATAAACAGTCTACAACAAAAATTTACCTTCAAGATTTGAGCTGTGGACCCCACAGGTGGATACTTCATCTATCTACCTTAAAACAAGTTTAATTTACTTTTTTTAAATCAAGCAAGACTTGAGTACAGTATTTATAAAACTACTGGCATTATTGCTGGATGCTGCAAGAGCCACTCACATCTCAGTAGGGTCACTCACATGTTTTCTTTTACTGTGCATACACAGTTTGAGAACAGTACAGGCTCAAACATGCTCAACTCTTTTGGAAATCTTGTTCCACATAAATTAACTGAAATTCTGGGTAAGACAAACATCTCAACTAAGCAGAACAACAGCTTCCCCAACCTGCAACACATACCTGCACAGGGAGTTACATTTCAAGGCGCTCGTGCCAAAGTTGTTTCCCACGTAAGAAAGCCTTTCGGTCTCTGAAGTCTAAAGTGCAGGGAAAAAAAAGAGCTTTAGTGAAAGACTACTCTCAGCAATAATTCTCCTCAGGGATTAAGCTTTTTGCCAAGCTATTAAGTCCTGTTTTTCTTTGGCGCCAGATTTTTCCGTGTGAACAGGGTAAATTTATAACCTGTCAACTTTTAGGGAAACTTCATCAATCGTATAGTCATTTCCCAAATAACATCTTCTAAAAGAAAAAGAAAAGAAAAAAGGAAAAAAGAATAAATGTCTCCTAAGGCTGAAAGAGTTCTCTCTACACCATAAGGTGTGTTCCAATGATGAATTGCCCTCAATTTACCAAGGATTATAGTGGATTTTCAATAACTGGCAAGTTATAAATTAAGATTGAATGTTTTTTTTCTTAGTAGATAAGATGCTGTTCAATTAAGAATTAATTCAAGAAAGTCTTACGACCAGCATGGTACAGGAGGTCAGACTAACTCAGTAATTCTCAACCAGAATTTTGTGAGATCCTTTGAAGGGTGTTCCTTTTAAGGGTGTACAGCCCCTATGTGAGGAGGTAACTGCTTGATCTCCCCCTACCTGGCACCCTATGCCTGCCCCAGCATCCTGAAGACAAGCAGTGCCCATAGCTGCTCTTCTGGAGGACTCCTGCTTGTGCTGCTGCCCTACCCTGCCCACATTCTGGTCACCACTGAGCTCTGAGAAGTACACTTTGCTCCAGGTGGGTGGGAAGGCATACATCTGTGCTTTTGAGCCCAGCACCTCCCTTCCCCTACTCTTCCCATGCTCCTGGAGCCTTCCTCACCCAACTCAGGCATATATCAGGTCCAGGGCGGAGGCAACTACTATCCTGGAGTTCTTAAACAATGTGAAAGCAAATGTTTGTTAATGCTAGATACTTTTTATATGCCTCCTCTTGTTTATGACTCACTTTCAGTGCTGAACTAGTGAAGACATTGTTGACTCCGCTTGAATTAGAACAGGGTTGTCCAACTTCTAAGCAGCCAGGGGCCACATTCTGTGTGGGCTGTACCAAGGGGCCATGAGTGCCCTGGGCCACAGGCCACACAGGCACCCCCAGCTCACTGGTCATGGACTCTCCAGCCGCAGCATGCTGTGAAGGCATTGCGGCCGCAGACTCCCCTGGACACTATAGACTGTGCTGCACTACCTTGCCCTCTATAGCTGGTACAGGAAGGAGAAACCAGAGGAGATAGAGGGAGCCCTGCAGCAACTCTAGCTGCTACAATCAGAGTGATGGAGGGGAATGAGGAACAGGTAGGAGACTGTAGGCTGTAAATTAACCCCTTGTAGACCATGATTTGGACAGCCCTGAATTAGAAGAAAGTTAACTGCTGCAGTGATTTCTGCTGGCTTTTCTTTTTTTTTTTTGACTAAAGGATTTGTTTCTTTTTTAATGCGATTGTAGAAATGTATCAAAGCAATATTCAGTTTGTGATGTTGGTCATAAGAGACATTTGACCAAGTCAGCTAATATTTAGTTGTTATGCTATTATAAAGAATTGTTTAGGTTGACTTAACATCTTCACAGGACCACTCAGTCCACTGCAGGGCCATTTTAATCCATCCTGTGCATTGTGGCAGGATTTCATTATGCCAAAAACAAATTCTGAAGGTTGTCAGTTCTCAACGTGAATATTCCAATGGCAATAATACAATAGCTAATGCTGTTGAATTTTTTTTAAGTAGTTTTAAACTTGGGGTGCTGTGAGATACTTCTAAGGGTGATGCGAGGTGTGAGGAAGTAAGCACCGTCATGAATTAACATTTTACCTGTGGTGCTGCTAAAATTAGAAGAGTTACGGATGTTGTGCCTTGACTCTAAAAAAGCTGAGTACCACTGGACTAACTAATCAAAACCTAGCCTTATAATCTAGCAATCTAAAAACTTGAAAGGAAGGCAAATGTTATATGGGAATTATTGCCTTCATAGGTCAAGTTAGTATTTGGGTTAAATTCTGAGCACATTTATTGTCATAATGAACTTTGGCATCAAGGTAATGTAAATCATAGTAAGACACCTAGGTTCTCATGTCTTGGAAGGCATGGTTTGTAGTAGTAAAACTGTAACTAATTAGGATAAATATATTTTTTAAACATAATCCCCCTTGGTATTAATTTGATGTGTTATTGCCAAAGCTCTAGTTGTAAATAGCCTTCCAGTACAATTTTTCAAAACGTCTTGAAAATTAATTCTTTTCCTGGACAGAAAATTGTGGCTCCCATCTCAGCCCAAAGGTGTACTTCTGGGGAAACAGGAATGACAGTAAAATCAATATGGCAATGTAAATGCAAGCCACAACATAAGTTTCAATGTGCACATACACATACACAGACCCGGACACATTCTTAATAAAATAAACCTCTCCATGTGCCCATCAGAATCATAAACTGGTTGAACTTCAAAACTATCATTTAAGACACCAGCTCTGCAAACTGGTTGCAATTTATCCACATCCAGCAACTCACAGACTTAGGGGTTAGATTTAAATATATATATATTTGTCAATCCACAGTATAAAATTTCTATCAAGTTTTTGACGGAATCATTTATAGAACCACTGAGTTGAATACCTATACAAGGCTGTGTAACTCCACAGTAACACAGCTAAAGCTTTTCCTTTTCTGGTATAACTTGTTTCTCATTCCATTAAAATCAACACAAAAGAAAGCTTTTGCATAAGACAATTTAATCAAAACAAAGATTGCAATATTGAAACATGAGAGTACATAAATTAAAAAAAAATTCTATATATTTTTGCAATCGTTATAACCTGTACGCTCAGTAAGAAATGGTTTAAAAAACTATTATTACTAAACATTCACCCCAATATTTATAGGCTGAATCACTGTTACTTTAAGAATCCCTAACTGCACACATCTCATTTTCCATTCTTATATATGAATATTTCATTTTTAATATACAGTCCAAGGCAATTCAAAACTGAAGTATATTGTATTAGCGAACATTTGATCCTAATTGGTATAAGCATATAATCAATAATAATTTCATTTTGTAATTTATCTACTGTGTCTTTTAAATTCAATTTTAAAAACTGTAGCTAAACTGCATAGTCTACACAAAATATTGAACTAGCAAAAGTATGGAGTTTCATTCTATTCATGCATCTGTTTCTGAGCTTTAACACAAGAATATTATGCTCTAATACCGGTCAGAAGTCTGATGTTCAGTGCTGCTTCTTATGATTACACTGACATCTTGTGGCTTTGTATACTAGACTCCACATGTACACTTTATGGAGCAGGGAAGTTTCAAGCCTCAATGTGTGAACCATATTAACAAGGGACATGCAGACAGCTTACTCAAAGGTTCAGGCAAAGCCTTCACCTACCCCATCACTCCAAATTTTCCACGTAAATTTCTGCCCCCACCTTTTTGTGCATTCAGTCCTATACCTATTGCTAAAAACAAACAATCTTGCAGCCCTGAGTGGCAGGGTTTTATTTTAGGGCAGTGGTTCTCAGCCTTCTTAGGCTCATGGCATACATATATAACTTTTCTTACGTTAGTGGCACCCCATTTAAAAAAAAAATGTATGCATTAAAGTGTGTAAAAAATAACCTAACTGGAAATGAATTTTTAAACAAACTGGAAAAAACATGCAGGAATAACGATAATATTATAACTGCTCTGACACACGTGTATAGTTGGGCTCCATTTGAGAATCAGTGCTGTAGAAAGATACTATTACAGCTCCTGTCACCATGAGGTCTTAACACCTTAAAACTTCAATGTATTTATCCCTGAAGCAATATGATGAGATTAAGGGTCAGATTCTACAACACAATGAAAGTGTGAAATGGCACTCAGGGGTTTAAGTGTGAGGTACAGAACTCGGACTCTTCCATGGAAAATAAGATTCCTTCAAGGAACAAAGGCTTTGTGCAAAATATCGTATGTTGTAAGATTCACAATAAAACCACAAGTTTGTCCAGCATGGTGCAAACTGCTCATTTTCAGCATATTGCCTAAAAAATGAGGGGAGAGAAAGGGTGGGGAGGAAAAAAAAAAGCAGCCCTATAAAATGGGGAGAGGGGAGGTTCTGTCCTACAGGGAGAGGCGCCTTTGTAGGGCACGTGGGTCCCTACTACAGAAAGGGTCCAGCCCATGAGGTGTGGTACAGTGCAGTGCAGTGCGGTGCAGCATGGCTTCATAGCAGTTCCCACTGGCTTGCCATGGACCCTGTTCAAGATTCACTTTGAGAAGAACCACCTGGAGTGGAATCTGCTGCCTTTCCCAGGGACCAGGGGAGAAAGGTTCAGCTTGGCTCTCCTAGCCAAGAGCTCCTGCCTAACTCTTAACCTTCAATTGCAGCTTCAGCCTGGTATCTGAAGGAAAGAAAAGCAAGTGCAATTCCTGCATTGGGTCCTAAAGAGACAGGCAGGATCCTGTCTTCAGAACTGCACTGATTTATGCTGCAGCCACTTCCAGGCTTAACCCAGCACTATATCCTGGAAAGAGAAGTACAGCAGGATTGGCGTAGCACCCTTAAAACGATCTCATGGCACTCCAGGGTGCCATAGCACTCTGGTTAAGAATCACTGTTTTAGAGGTTGAGTTTGCTTTTAATACATCCAAGGGTTTTATTGCCTATTTTCTTCTTTAAATGGACACTCATTTGAAATCTAGCTGTTGTTTTAAAAAGTTCATTAAAGTTGTTTCAGCTACTGTGGATGCCTCTATCGCTCTGCAAATGCAGGGTGTTTCACAATTAGATTTTTAAGAGCTATTTTTAATGGCTCTCTTAATCCTGGTTCTGTATGAAAAACAAACAAGAAGCCCCAACTAAACTAAGCCTGATTCTCTGTCAGACCTTCAAGAGCAGAAGCATACGATTGGGCCCAATTTTATCAGAAATTATGGCTTTCCATGGAGATTCTATTTTCGACTTATTTAATCTGGAGAAAAGACGACTAAGGGGGGATTTAATAACAGCCTTCAGCTCCCTGAAGGGTTGTTACAAAGAGGATGGAGCTAGACTGCTCTCAGAGGTGGCAGATGACAGAACAAGGAGCAATGGTCTCAAGTTGCAGCAAGGGAGTTTAGGTTAGATATTATGAAGAACTTTTTCACAAGGGAGGTTGTAAAGGACTGGAGCAGGTTACCCAGAGAGGTAGTGAAATCTCCAACCTTGGAGGTTTTTAAGACCCAGCTAGGCAAAGCCTTGGCTGGGATGATCAGGTTGGGGGTGGTCCTGCTCTGAGCAGGGGGTTGGACTAGATGACCTCCTGAGGTCCCCTCCAACCCTCATTTTCTATGATTCTATGACCAGGGATCCAAAACTCACTATGCAAGAGCCACTCTGAGGGGACTGACAAGAGCCATTTCCACAGTGATCCCTGGTAATGTCTCTGATGGCCAAGAGCTCCCGAATTGACAAAAACGTCGAAGTACCCAAAGATAAAGATACAGAACCGTTTTTGTCATACGAAAGAAGCCACTGACAAGGCACACAAAAACCAAAAACCTGATTAAAAGGGAGGGAAGGGTATCCTCCCACAAGGAACACTGGAATTATCCAACTGGATAAGACTCAATCCCACTCTCATCCAATATGCTGTCTCCATATTTGGGCAACATCAGATGTTCCAGGGGAAACCCCACAGTTTCATAGGTGGGATAATCTACTTCCCATTTTAGGGCTCTTCTTCATTCCAAATATCTACACACTGGTTTAAACTGAAAGCATAAGGTTTCATCTCTCTTCCAAAATGTGTTCTTGTTTATCATAGACCCAGATACTGTATATCTATATAGAATTTCTTTCAAGTCCGATCATTTTAGGAGCTATCATTGTAACAACAGTACATTTAAAAAGTCAGACAGAAGTAAGTGTTTTAATTTGACAGTGTCCCCTTACATATTTCTATAACCTCCTGTCAAAAAACAGCCTTGATTATAAGCACAAAAACCTGGTTATAAAGGAGGGCCTGTTTGTTTCTCAACTGCAGAACAGAAATAGCTTGGACAACGATGAATAAACTCACCAGGATTCTCCTGTGCTTCTTTCTGGGATTAGTAGTATCTTTGCTTTTGTACAATGTGAAATTCATGTCTTCAGAATTCTGCAGTCTCCCATTTGAAAAATGAACTGTAATAGATTAGGAAGGAGAAAACATTTGAAATGGTTTAACAGCAATAGCATTCTTAAAATAAAAATGTTTACAACAACGCCAGGAAAGATCTTAATCTTATGAATAAAAATCTTGGGCAACCTCTCCTATATAAAGCTTAGTCTTAATGAATTCCAGAAGACATTATCATAAGTAACTTGACCAGAGGTAGAATCCCATGAATTTATTTTCTTCTCTTCTATGTCTATTTCGCTCACTAAATAGCGGCATCTTCTAAAGGTTTGCTTATGCATGAAAAGGACCAGCTAAAAGAGGTAATGAAGAGCAAAATATTTGAAAATAGCTCCTTGTGTGAATGTGGTCCCAGAGTAAAAGCAATTTTATTTCAAATAATTACCCTGCTTTGGAAGTTCACTGATTATTTTTGCAATAACGTAACTTTTATTGTGCAATAGTATCTGCATTGAGATATTATCTACTATTTCCATCAGTTTTCCAGGACTGCAAGGTAATGAAGTGGTAAGAGCAGAGCAAGAAGCCTGACATCACTGTTGTACAACTGAGATAATAGTGATTTTGCCTCAGGCGTTAGATGCCTTAGATTAGCACTTGTGAGGCTAGACACCAGTAACAGACATCACCAAACATGACTTTGAAGACTCTTATTTGCACCAACAGAGAACGTAACTGCGTGTGCGTGTATGGAGGGGGAGGGAGGGGCATATAAATATCAAAGATGAGACCATCTATCTCCTGAGTTGCACCATTTAAATTAGTATTTTGGATGCTGAAAGCATATATATTTCCTCAATGCTTAAAAGACTATGGAAATGTTGTTCCATTCATCTCTGCACGTAAGACTCTTCAAAGGGACCTCTCCCAAGCAGGTGCTTCCCTGCTTCATAGGTCAGTGAAAAAGCTGCAAACACTTGCTGCCATAACAAAGCTGATATCAGAGAACAGCTGACTTAAAGACAGACAACCTGCCCACCAAACCACCTTCTAGTTTTACGTCTTTTACTGATCATAGCTCAGGATTGCTGGAGGGTTTCTTGTTTAACGGTTAAAAACTTGTTTTCTTCTTGAAATCCCATTGCATAACATTTGCCGCACATCCAAAGTCAAACCAGTACTGCTTGTACAGTGGTTCATGTCAGGAGGCCTGTGTGATGTACCAGTCACCACCTCTAACATGAGAAACAAGCTGGTTCTAGCTATTAGACACACCAGTGCTTTGCCTTCCACCCTACTCTCTCCCTTGGTGGCAACAGAGTGAGTCCTGTCCACGCAGATTCACTGAAGTTTAGGGCTGGAAGGGACCTCGTGAGATCATTGGGTCCAAACCCCCCTGCTCTGGGCAGGAAAGACTGCTGGGATCAAATAACCCCAGCAAGGTCCAGTCTCCTTTTGAAGATCTCCAAGGTAGATGCCTGCATCGCTCCCATTGGGAGTCTATTTCAAGGGTCTGGTTACACCTGTCACAACCCAAAGTTGTGGATTTTTTGATTGTGTGCGCTTCGGCACCGCTAAATTATGTTCCTGCCGAATTGCAGCTCTTTTGCATGACGGAGTGTTCCATTGTTATAGAGAACCCGCATGCAGAAAAGTGTTTCCCGCCGTTCTGTAGCCTTCTTTGCATTGTGCATTACTCTTGCATTACAGTGATGCACGCTGCAAAGGAGTTCCCGCCAGTTGTATTAAGATTTGAGCCACATTATTGGCCGGTCTTAATTTAGGCACA